TGAGGGGGCGGCGCATGTCCTAAAAGGTTGAAAACCCCTGAAGTAGACATTACAAACTGTAGCTTTAGAAAGAAATAATTTATTTGATTTAACATAAAATATATTATACATAAACATTTAGACTACAATGGATGATAGAATGATAGAATTATTTTTTTTGGGTGAACTATACCTTTAATGTTTTTTGTAATAATAATGTGATTATTTATATTATTATATTTATATTAATTATGTATAATTATATTTATATTAATTATAATATGTAAAAAATAATAATGATTATTGTTATGATTATTATTATTATTTTTAATGAAATTATACTCTAAATAAGAAACTAAATCTGCCAGCAGGTGGTAAATGTCTTTGTGTCATTCATTAATTCGATGTTCAAACGGCTGATTCATTTAGGAATGAAGTAAATGGCTCTGTTTATGAATGGGCCTTTGAATCACTGGTTCACATAATTCGTTCAAAACGCGGATTCATTCAGAAACTAAACATCGCTGTGTTGCTCGGAGACGCGCAACAATTCTGCTATGCTTTAAAGGTTATATGTTCTCTGCAAAATTGAGCAAAAACATAATATTTTTTAAAATATAACACAATATTAACTTATTTACAGAACTGTTGTATAAAATCACATTTAAACTCATGATATTCGGGACAACTCGTGCAATACTGCTCTCCCTGCTCGTGTGATATCGCTTTTCGTATGATATAAATATGAGACAAAAACTCATGCAGGGGCATTTTTTGCACCAATATCTTGAATTTTAGGGCATAACCGCATTTATGGAGCTGTTGCCCTGCATCATGTTTGTCAACAGTCAACTCCATAAAATGTAGTATTACGTACAGGTCTGGGGGTGGGGCCAGTGCATTAACTGCGTTAAAATATTTGAATAGCGTTAAACTGACAGCCCTAATATATATATATATATATATGTAAGCAATAAGGCGTTGTTAGGCACGACGCGAAGCGGAGGGCTTGCAACCCCTTCAGCCGTGATTTATTCACAATATAGCACGGGCTCGAGTACCTTATTGCTTTTGTAAAATGGTTACCACACAATAAAAAATATTAAAACCAAAAATGTATGTATTGAAATGTTACTTTTTTGAAGCAAGTTCGTTAAATGCTGTCCTTCCGCTAAAAAATAGTTCCTGACAGCAACAGTAAATGGCAAGAGCATGTTCTGAACATGCCTCATCTAATGGACCTTAAATAAAAACGGAGAATAGGAGCTCTTATCATCCGCTGTCATTTATTTTTTAACACCATATATGATATTTTCTCACACACATACATCTGATTATCTCTCAGCATGAGAAAACGTCTGTTTTCTGTCTTTTAGTCTTAAAACAGACTGATTCCCTGCACAGCGTGAGTTTGCAAGCGTCATTACAGTGTAAACTGATGGACATACAGAATCATACCTGAAACAGAAAACTAATACAGTAGGGGTTGCACCGACTAATCGACTTCAATGCTCTGCCATGATGCTTTAAGCTTGACGTCGACTAGTCGCTGATCCTATAGAGGGCGCAACAGGATAAGAAATCTTTGAATGACTTCCACATTTACGCTCCGTTTCCGAACAGTTAAAATGACAAATAAATGCATACTCTGAAAGCGCTCCACAAGACGTGTGATTATATTACTGGATGCTTGAAATTGAACAGGAGAATGCTTGTTTTAAACAGCCTATTGTACAGGTAAATTAATCACTGTTCTAATATAATGCGCTGCTGCACTGTAACGCACACACATAGGCTTCAGACAGTAGCTCGTACATCACGCGTAGATCGCGAGCACACAGAATCATTCAGCGCGGAAATGTATTGTCAACACTGTCCTGTGATTTCTCAATAAAATAGCTTAGAAACTGAAAAGTTCAAGTTGAAAGATGCAACATAACGCCAGCAAGGGTCACTCATACTTCATTAAATAAATAAACCGTTAATTCTGCCGAAATACATAATAAATGAAACCGTTTTGATGCTATATTATTGATTGCTGCTTATGTTGCTAAGGGTGTTGCTCAGTGATGCACAGAACCGTTGGGTGATGCGGTCATAGCCGTGCTGTATCGTGAATAAAACACAGCTGCTGACCAATCAGAATCAAGGAATGGAACTAACCATTTTATAAGTATATATACGTGTATGCATATGTGTATATATGTATAAGGGATGTAACGGTACACGTATTCGTACCGAACCGTTTCGGTATGGGTCTTTCGGTTCGGTACGCATGTGAACCGAACGAATACAGTTTTTTTTTTTACAAAAATGTGAGGGGTGTACTCCCTTCTGTGAGATACTGTGTGTGTGTGTGTGTGTATATATATATATATATATATATATATATATATGTGTGTGTGTGTGTGTGTGTGTGTCTATGTGTATGTATATGTGTATGTATATAATAAATATAATATAATGGGTGTTATATTATATAATTAAATTTTTGGTACAGGTCTTTTGGTTCGGTACGTATGTGTACCGAACAAATTGTTCCATTTTTATTTCAGGAAATTCAGACAATAAATGCCGTTTTGGCACTATGACATGGCGTGACAGCGCTGTATAAATGCCTCCGTTTTAACGCCAGCGCAGAGCGTGAGTGAGCGCGATCATCCCTCCATCTTTTATTACTAGTTTTAATGCGAAATATACATGAATGAACATCTCACTCCTCATGTAAATCGCTTAATTAGTGTTTCAAACCGTAGAAAGACGTCATTAAAACAACTTGTAAACAAAATGTCACGTAGCATTTTATTTACCTCAGGCAAAAGTCATCAGTGTCTACAGCTCATTATTTGCTAGAGAAATGAAGTCTAGAGATGAGCATTTTCAGAAATGTACTATATTCTCATTATTTGCTTTACCTGTTAGTGATGTCTTAATGATTTAATGTATGTTTAAATAAATCTTTTATGAACAAGTTATGACAGCCACTCTGTAAATTATTATATTTCAACAACAAATAGAAATTGCATAATTTAGAAGTTAATTTAAAAACAATTTACATGTTTGCATACATTTTTTTTTATTTTATTTGAGTGATTATTATAGTTAAAATCAAATAGTAATTAAATTTAATTTTGGGCTCTGTTGTTAATTGTAACCTTATAGTAATGTAAAAGGGCTCCCTATAGTTTAGAGCGGAAGCTGAAATAGATTTTTATCCCTATGCAAATTGATTATAATTGAATTTATTTAAAGAAATAGCAAATTGTTCAGAAAAACCATTGTTTAATAAAACAAACAAATTATGTACAATAAGCAGATTTATTGCATCATAAAAGAAAAAAAGAATAGCTGGGAAAGCATGAAGTTTGCGAATGCCGGTCTATCAGTCAAGTCCGAGGCAAGACGCAACCCATAGCCACGCGTCATGACGAAGACATCTCAGATAGACTGGTGGCAGATTAAAGTAATAGGAAATAAATTCCTGTAGAGTGATTCCTTGCACAAAATGCACATCAAGTATGCTAAACATCGAATCTTGAACACATATGATGCGCTAGAACAGACCTTGTTCTTATGCGTCATGCAAACACATTTGAGTGTCTTTTTCTTTTAATGACTATGTCCTGTTGAAAGTGCATACCGCCATAGACATAGGTCTGTGCATACCACCACCTATTGCATGACATCGGCATGACAACTGACGAATCACCGGTGGATTTGGCTTAGGAGAGCAGATAACGATCAGTTAAAAAAAAAAAATGCTTGATCGGCTCGGGACATTCCTACATATGTATTACACAAGGTTATTTTCGTAAACGAAAACTAAAACTAAGACTAAAACGATTCGTCAAAAAACATTTTTGTAAACTGAAATAAAATACAAAAATCAAAATAAATGAAAAACTAAAACGAAACGAAACTAACAACAGTTATTGCAAAACTAACTGAAATAAA